CAGGAGGAGGAGGGGTCTCGGCCCGATCCCCCCTCTCCTGGACTGGACGGGGGGAGAGGAGGATCGAGGCCTCCTTGCACGTTTTTGGCCCGCGTGTCTGGGGAAGGCTCCTGTGCACCGTGCCGCGTGGGCGTCTCCCGCGGCGTCGCCGATCCTCGACCCAGGGACGGTACGGTGCGCAGCTTGTCGGCCCCCTCGGGGCCGACACGCTGTGCACCGCACCGCGTCGGAGCGGGGCCCGAAAGGAGGCAAAACACTGGTGCGGTGCAGGAGCGCCGGCCTCGTATTGTGGAGCCGCAGGGGGGCCGCTCCGGGCAGACGCGATCGACTCGAGCCGATCGAGTCAGCGAGCTCGGCACGGCTGTGATGAGTGCTGCTCCCCTGGAGAGATCCGATAGACGGCGTATGCACAGACTTTCGGGGGTCCGCGCGGAATTTCTCAGGCTGGCGCGGAACCTGCCTCCCCGAGCCCTCGATCCCCCGCGATCTCGCGAGAGCTCTCCCATCTCTCCTCCCAACCCTCTTCCCTCCCTCCTCTCCCTCCCCCGTCACCCCTTCCTCCGACGTCGACGCCGATACCGACCTCGACGCCCCCGCCGTTATCGCCGCCGCCGCCGCCGCCGCCGCCGTCGTCGTCGTCGTCGTCGTCGTCGTCGTCGTCGTCGTCGTCGTCGTCGCCGACGTCGTACTTTGAGGGTTTTCGGATGTCTTGGAGTCGTTCAGTCGGGTCTGATTAGCAGGCCAAGGCCTCACCTACCTGGTCACCGGTCTCACAAGGACGGACACTTGTCCGCATTGGTGGTTCGGGAGCCTTGAGACGGGTGTCAGTGCAAATGGGGGTCAGCCAGGGCGTGTGATCTTGCAGGATCCTGCAGAGGAGGCTACACTGACCCAGCTCGGAGCGCAGGATCCTGCAAAACCCTGACTGACCCGGGTTTGCCTTGACCCGAGTCTGTGGACGAGCCTGGAGGACGGCTTCGTGTACGAGTCGATCTGAGGCACTGCGGTGCCATCCACCCAGGCCCCGCGCAGGGCTGGGCGCGGATCGACATTGGGTGTCGGTCTGTCTGTGTGTCCGTAGATCCCCAAGTGGTTCGTTCATTCCTTTGTCTACCCTCCAGCATCAAGGGCGCCCTCGTGTGCCCTCGGTGCTGTGCCGTACCGCCGTGCCCGCCCATGCCCAGAGCACGGGCCTGCCCTCGGAAGAGCTCCGTGTCCTCTCGCGGTGCCCCACTGCAGCCGGCCCCGGCTGTTGTCGCCCTCCACCCTGCCCGTCGCGGCTCGGCCTGAGCCCCCCCTCCTCTGACCCCGCCGCCGATCCCGCCGCCGTCATCGCCGTCGCCGAGGTAGCCTCCGCTGTCGCCGCCATCGCCGCCGCCGTCGTCGCCGCCGCCGCCTTCGACGCCGCCGCCGTCGCCGCCGTCGTCGTCGTCGTCGTCGTCGTCGTCGTCGTCGTCGTCGTCGTCGTCGTCGTCGTCGTCGGCGTCGGCGTCGGCGTCGGCGTCGGCGTCGGCGTCGGCGTCGGCGTCGGCGTCGGCGTCGGCGTCGGCGTCGGCGTCGGCGACGGCGTCGGCGTCGGCCTCGGCGTCGGCGTCGGCGTCGGCGTCGTCGTCGTCGCCGCCGCCGCTGGTGCCGTCCGCCCTGGCCGGCTGGGCCCCGTCCGCCCCTGGCGAGGAGCTGCTCGCGTCGGGGCGCGGGGCCGCTGGCCCGGGCCCGGCGGCGGCGCAGTGCGCGCTGGACGGGGCCCTGGACGTGCGCCGGCCGTGCGGTCGGGGATCGGGGATCACGGATCGAAGGTCCAGGAATTTTGGGAGGAGGAGGAGGAGGAGGAGGAGGAGGAGGAGGAGGAGGAGGAGGAGGAGGAGGAGGAGGAGGAGGAGGAAGAATAATAATAAGAATTGTCCCAGTGCGACCCTACCTAGGAGTTGGAGCCCCTAGGAACGCAGCATTAGTAGTAACAGTAAAGCTAAGCTAAAGTCAAACTGAAGCTAAGCTAAAACTAAACTGAATCTAAGCTAAAGCTAAATTAAAGTTAAGCTAAAGCTAAGCTACAGCTAATCGGCGCCTACAATCGGTGCGGTTACGCCGGGGTGCGGTTTGCGAGTGGCTTTGTGGCGGCCTTTCCGGGACCTTTGTGAGAGACAATGTCATGACTGTCGTCGTTTCGAGCGACACTGTCATCCTCGATGTGTGTTCCATGGTACTAGAAGGAGCGACAGTGTCATGTGATTCGGTCGCACTGAGTGACAGTGTCATCCCTTTTCCGGGGGCGGGAAGGGCAGGCATGACAGGAGGCAAACCGCACCCTTCGCAAACCGCACCCATTGTAGTCGCCGAGCTAAGCTAAAGCTAAGCTAAAGCTAAGCAGCAGCTGAGCAACAGCTAAGCAAAAGCTAAGCTGAAGCTAAGCTAAAGCTAAGCTAAAGCTAAGCTAAAGCTAAGCTAAATCAAAACTAAAGCTAAGCTAAAGCTACGCTAAAACTGAGCTAAACCTAAGCCAGCTCTAAGCTAAATCTAAGCTACATCTAAGCTAAAACTAAGCTAAAGCTAAGCTAAAGTTACGCTAAAGCTAAGCTAAATCTAAGCTACAGCTAAACTAACACTAAGCTACAGCTAAGCTAAAGCTAAGCTAAAGCTAAGCTAAAGCTAAGCTAAAGCTAAGCTAAAGCTAAGCTAAAGCTAAGCTAAAGCTAAGCTAAAGCTAAGCTACAGCTAAGCTAAATCTAAGATAAAGCTAAGCTAAAGCTAAGCTTAAGCTTAAGCTAAAGCTAAAGCTAAAGCTACAGCTAAAACTAAAGCTAAAGCTAAAACTCCCAGGGGACTGGGGGAACCGCGGGGCGGATGCCGGGAGAACCGCCCGGGGCGGGTTCCACTGCCCGGCCCCTTTAAGCCCAGAGAGTAAGAACCCGTCTAGGCAGAGCCTAGGTAGGGAGTGAAGCTAAGCTAAGCTAAGATGAAATAAGCTGAGCTAAGATGAGATAAGCAACGCTAAGGTAAGGGGACGTAACTGGGGGAACCGCGGGGCGGATCCTGGGGGAACCGCCCGGGGCGCATTCCACTGCCCGGCCCTTTAAGCCTCAGAGTAAGAACCCTTCTAGGCAGAGCCTAGGTAGGGAATCAGCAGAATAAGACTAATAAGAACACTGATAATCATAAGAATGATAATAATAATATTATGGATAATGATATTATTAATACTAGTAATAATAATAAGGATAGCAATAAGAAGAATACGGATACAACAAATCATAAGAATATTAAAAATAAGAAAACGAATAATACAATCACTAATACTAGCAATACTACAATAATAATAAACATGTCAATCAAAAGCATAATAAGCACAATACTAATACTAATAATAATAGTACAGTTATTAATAACAATAAAAATAACAAGAGTATTAATAATAATACTAACAACAGTAATACTACTACTAATAGTAATAATACTACTCAGAATAAACACGATACTAATACTAATCAAAACAATACTAATACTAACACTACTACTAATAATAAGACAAATAAGAAGAGGAAGAGGGAGGAGGAAGAGGGAGGAGGGAGGAGGGAGGGAGGGGGAGGAGGGAGGAGGGAGAGGGAGGGAGGAGGCAGGGAGGGAGGAGGGGGAAGGGAGGAGGAGGATGGGAGGTAGGGAGAGGGAGGAGGGAGGGAGGGAGGGAGGGAGGGAGGGAGGGAGGGAGGGAAGAAGGAGGAGGAGGAGGAGGAGGAGGCGGAGGCGGAGGCGGAGGCGGAGGCGGAGGCGGAGGCGGAGGAGGAGGAGGAGGAGGCGGAGGAGGAGGAGGAGGAGGAGGAGGAGGGGGATCGAGGAAATCGAGGGTCGAGTGGGAGGAGGGAGGAGGGAGGGAGGAGGCTCGAGGAGGCCGATGAGCTCTCTGGGAAGACCCCACTCAGGTCATCGGGAGATCGGGGCGCTGGAGGCCACGATCGGCGCGACTGCGGTCGGCGCGACCGCGATCCCAGCGATCGGGACGTCATCCCCATGAGCGAGGCAGGCGGTCAGCGGCGCCGCTGTCGAGGGCGCGGCGTGGTCGCGCGTTCTCAGCCGGCGCAGGGTCGGCCTCGCGGTCGGGGCGCGCCGGCTGCGCAGTGTCACCGATGGTGGCCAGGGCAGTCCTGGTCCCATCGGAGGCGACGATGGGGGCGAACAGCCCAGGGGAGAGCAATACAATCCGACCACGCGCGGAGGGGGGCGGGGTAGGGGGGAAGGCCTTGCTTCCCAGAAGGCGCGGGCCTTGTCTGTAGATGCAAGGCCGGCGCCCTCCAAGAAGCCTCCTTCTAAGAGGCCTTCCCTCCTCCCGCTACCCCCTTCTGCGCGCGGCCAAACATGTGTCCAGGGGCGCCGATGGTCCATGTCTTTGGCGAGGCTCCCGGGCGAATGCGCGTAATGCCCGCCCCTGGGCTATGCGCCCCTATCGTTGTGGATGCCATGATAATGGACACTCTAACCGTGCTGATATTTTTCATGAATCAGGTCTCTCGCATGTCTAAAACATGTTCGAAACATGTTTTGAACACGTGTTCTAGCACTTCAGAAACATGTTCAACACATTTTTTTGACATTGGAAACTATTTGCCAATATGCTTCCTCTCCATGGATCGTCTTCCCACAGCCCTACCGTCGCCTCTGATCCCGGGCTTAAGTCGGGCCTGTCCCTCTACACGAGGAAAATTCAAAGACAGTAGAAAAGTAGTCTGGGGACGATTTTTGTTGGAATATTTTTGAGGTTTGTGGGGGTATGTTTTGACCATTCGCCTGTAGGGGGACATGCCTGGCCTAATCCTGGGGTCGGTGTGCGTGCCATCCTGGCCAGGCCGCTCCCCCCCACCAGGAGAGGCCGAGGCAGTCCAGGGGAGCTCTGCATCCCCTGGGGGGGTCGCGCCGAGGGGGCCCTCTGCCGCTGTGCTCTCCCAGGGGGGAGCAGAGCCGCAGGAGTACGAGTCACAATGAGATGGAGACGAGTACTCAGACATGATGGCGTCGTGAAATAATCAGGACGGGAGGCTTTTGGCAATTTTCGGCCCCGGGGGGCCCTCGCCGGGCCTCGGGACCGTCAAAAAACAACTCAGGACGGAAAACCGGTCCCGTGGAAAGGGTCGGGACTTCTAGGGACGCCGTCCTGAAAAAATCAGGACGTCGCATGTCTGGGTATGAACCAGGAGAGGAGTAAGACACATACGATTCATACGAACAGTGGCAACCCTTCGGGTGATAAGGAGGCTGGGTGTGAGGGGGGAACAAAAACAACAGCTGGCAAATGCGATGGGTGGGTGTGATGATGACGATGCTGGTGGCGCGCCGCTGTTGTGCTGCGATGTAATGTCACTATCGTCCACGCTTTCGATCTCACTCGATCGATCCCACTATTGACCTCACGGCCAGTCTTAGTAGCAGTGGATTCAGCGATCGATCAAATTGTGCTCGCTCCAGGGGAGATCGCCTGTCCCCGCGAGATCTGCACGACCCAGGGGGCATCGCCTCCTTAATTACGCATCCGACAGCGCAAACACAACCAATGTCACAATCAGCCTCACTGTCGATCTCACGTATAATCTCACTATCCATCCCATTCTAGCGATCCCATTGTCGATCTATCTATCGACTTCACTATCGTTACCAAGACGGGACACCCTTGGCCACCGCCCGCCCACCGCCGACGGAACACCGCTGGGAGACCTCTGGGACACCTCTGGGACACCAACGAAACACCATAGGACACCACGGCGGGACACCCCGGGCCACCGCGCGCCCACCGGGGGCGGAGGGGCGGCCGACTGCATCCGAATCGCCCTAGCGACGGCGGGGTCATTCCTCTCGCGCGCCGCCCACGCAGCTTCGCCTCGCCCGAGCGCGCGACACGAACACGAAACCGAAGCCGATTTCCCGGTCTCACCCCCCAACCTCTGATTTAGATGAACATCAACACCATTAGTAAGCATGATGCTAATTTTCACAATGACAACAACATTGATAATGATAGCCAGAGTGGCAGGAAAGCTGATAACGATAATACGAAGACTCACATCAATAAGAAGAGCACTGATGGGAAGAAGGGTCAGCATCGAGAGAGGGGGATGGGAAGCACGCCCGGCCGCCCAAGAAGTCCTTGGCCAAGCCACGAGACGCGTGTGCAGCGATCCATGGCCCGGGTTTCGGCTCGGCCAGGGTCGGTGCCGGCCGCCCCGCGCCTGGCGCCCCGTGCGGCGGACCGAGGACGTGGCCCTCCGCGGCATGCACGTGTGCCGTGCGTACGACGCCGAGGAGCTGCACTCCACCGTCAGGGAGCTCGGGCCGTTCCTCGGTGCGCGCCCCGGAGTCCGAGCCCTCGTGGTCGATCCCCGTGGCCTCCCGAGCCGCGTCCGCGGGCCCCCCCCCCGAGGGTGATTGCTGGCTGGCCCCCGTGCTCGTCCGCCGGCTGCGGGCACGGTGTGGTGGCGGAGGAGCTGGGGGAGAGAGAGGCAGAGAGAGAGAGGAGGCGGAGGGGGAGGAGGAGGAGGAGGAGGAGGAGAGGGAGACCGAGGAGGAGGGGGGGAGGAGGAGGAGAGAGGGAGGGCGAAAGAGAGAGAGAGAGAGAGACAGAGGTGGACAGTGCTGAGTGTCGAGCACACGCGCATCAATGCCGTGGTCTCACACGGCGTCGCCGTGCCGAGTCACGGCTGCGCGCCAGGCTCCGGTGGATATTACGCTTGCGGCTGGGGCTGCGGCCGCTGCAGAGGTTTCGCGCACCGCCAAGATATAATGATCATGATGACGAAGGCGAAGATGATGATGTTGCTGCTGATGTTGATACTGTCGACATGATGCTGTTGATGGTAGCGAATACGCTGCTGCTGATGATGCTGCTGCTGATGATGATGAAGATGGCGATGATGATGACGACGATGCTGATGCTGCTAATGTTGGTGGTAATGAACAAGAATGACACATTTTACGATAACTGCTGCTGATGTTGATGCCGCTGATGACGACGGCGACGGGACGGCGATGGCGATGACGACGATGAGGGTGAAGACGATGGCGATGACGATGACAATGGCGATGACGATGGCGATGATGATGTTGCTGATGGTGGTGATGATGGTGGTGAGGATGATGGTTGTTGTTGATGATGATGCTGATGATTCTGCTTCTGCTGATGATGACTATGCTGCTGATGATGGTGGTGATGAGGATAAGGATGAGGATGAGGATGATGAGGAGGCTAATGATGATGATGGTGATGATGGTGATGGTGACGGTGATGGTGATGGTGATGGTGACGGTGATAATGACGACGATGATGATGCTGATGATGATACTGATTAGGATGCTGATGCTGATGATGATGCTGATGCTGATGAAGATGATGGTGGTGATGATACTGATGACGATGATGATAACGATGATGCTGATACCGATTTCGATGATGATGATGCTGCTGCAATTGTTGTCGATAACGATGATGCTGCTGATGATGATGCTGAATCTGATGATGATGAGGAGGATTATGATGACGATTCTGCTGATGATGCTGCTGCTGGTGATGATGATGCTGATGCTGCTGATGATGATGATGATGACGATGCTGCTTATGATAATGATGTGGAGGAGGATAATGATAATGATGATGATGATGCTGATAATGATGATGATGATGATGATGATGATGATGATGATGATGATGATGATGATGATGATATTGATGATGATGATGATGCTGATGATGATGATGATGCTGATGATGATGATGTTGATGATGATGATGATGATGCTGATGCTGATGATTCTGATGATGATGGTGGTGGTGATGATGCTGAAGCTGAAGATGAAGATGAAGCTGATGCTGATGCTGATTATGATGATGACGACGACGATGATGACGATGATGCTGATGATTATGATGATGCTGATGATGATGATGATGATGCTGATAATGATGATGATGATGATGATGATGATGATGATGATGATGATGATGATGCTGATGATGATGATGATGATGCTGATGATGATGATGATGATGGTGGTGGTGATGATGCTGAAGCTGAAGATGAAGATGAAGCTGATGCTGATGCTGATGCTGATTATGATGATAATGACGACGACGACGATGATGATGATGATGATGATGATGATGATGATGATGATGAGGATGCTGATGCTGATGATGGTGATGATATTGCTGCTGCTGCTGATGTTGCTGCTGCTGCTGCTCGTGCTGCTGCTGCTGCTGATAATGATGATGATGATGATGATGATGATGATGATGATGATGATGATGATGATGATGATGATGATGATGATGATGATGCTGATGACGATGATGATGACGGCGACGTCGACGACGACGACGATGGCGACAACGACGACGACGATTATGATGCTGATGGCTTGGGACGTGGAGGAGGAGTAGGAGGAGGAGGAGGAGGAGGAGGAGGAGGAGGAGGAGGTGGAGGTGGAGGAGGTGGAGGAGGACGACGACGATGAGGAGGAGAGGAGGAGGAGGAGGAGGAGGCGGAGGAGGAGGAGGAGGAGGAGGAGGGGAGGAGGAGGAGGAAGGAGGAGGAGGAGGAGGAGGAGGAGGATGAGAGGAGGAGGAGGAGGAGGAGAGGAGGAGGAGGAGGGAGGAGAGGAGGGGGAGTGGGGACCTGCAGGGGGAGCGATGCCTGATGCGCTAGATGACTGACCCAAACGAGTTCGGTCTGGAAGACTCCATCGCATTCTGCTTTCGTGGCGACCTGGTGCCGAACCTGCCCCAGAGGGCCAGGGTTCTAGGTGACATCCTGGAGGGCTCGAGAGAGGAATCAGGCAGAGAGGGAGATGGCGCGCCCCCCTCCCCAACTCCCCAGTCCCCCTGCGCCGTGAGAAACAAACAAGCCACGACGGGCGCTGTTGCGCGCTTCTGGCCTCCTTCGTGGCGACCCGCGCCGGAGAAAACGGTCCAGGGGCCTGCGCCGTGACGTGGCAAGGACCTCGGAGGTCCGTGGCATACCCTGCCCCGACACCCTCACCGGGGGGTGGCCTTTTGGAGCCCTTTTGGAGCCCTTTTGGAGCCCTTTGGAGGCGTCGTGGGGCCCTCTGGAGGTGGTTCTCTTGGAGCCCCTCTGGGGCGTCTTGCGGACTGCCCGGCTTCGATGCCGCAGCTGGCTCTCCTCCCTTCCGACAGAGGCGGCATCCCGGTGCGCCCCGAGGAGCCCCTGCGCCTCGGAGGAGCACCAGGCGCTGGGTGCTGCCGCGTGGCCTCGGCCCAGGGCGGCCCCAGCGCTTCCAGGCAAGGCCAGGGTGGCCTCCGCACGAGGCCCTGGAGGGCCCCAGGGGCTCCAGTGCGGAGCCCCAGGGGCCTCAGTGCGGAGCGAGGAGGGAGCTGGAGGCTCCTTGGGCCTGGGCCACGTCATGACAACCTCCGACGGGGGGGTTGGGGGGTGCTTTGGGGCGGGCTGCCCCTCCCCCTCCTCCCCGATTCCCTCGGGAGCCCTCCAGACTTCGCGGCCCTGCTGAAGAGGTACAGCACAGAGTACGGCTTGGTCGTGGTCGTCACTAACCACATGACCACCAGGCTGCGGGCTCCCGAATCGGCAGACTCCGCACGCGCGTGCGCGTCGCTTCTCCCTCCTCCCTCCTCCCTCCCTACCTTCTTCCTCTCTCTCCCTCTCCCTCCCTCTCCCTCCCTCCTCCGCCGGCCCCTCCTCCTTCTCGCCCTCCTCTCTCCCTCCTCCCTTCCCCCCTCCGTCTCCTCCTTCTCGTTCTCCTCTCTCCTCCCTCCTACCTCCCTCCCTCCTTCCCTCCCTCCCTCCCTTCTCCTCTCTCCTCCTCCTCCTCCTCCTCCCTCCTCCTCCTCTCCTCCTCCTCCTCCTCCTCCCTGCTCCTCCTCCTCCTCCTCCTCCTCCTCCTCCTCCTCCCCCCTCTCCCCCTCCTCCCCCTCCGGTCCGCGCGTCCCGCTCGCGCCTCCCCGGCGGGAGCAGACAGCGCCCGGGGGCAGGGCGGGCCCGAGCCTGTGCGCCCTTTGGCGGGGCTGCGCCGCCGGCCTCCCGGCGCCGTGCGCGTCTCGGGCCACCGGCCCCGCCGACGTCCTCGGCGCGCATCGCCTGGCCACGGCCCTGTGGTTCGGCAGCAGGTCTGCAGAGAACGTTTTGTTGTTGTTTGTTGTCGTTGTCGTCGTCGTCGTCGTCGTCGTCGTCGTCGTCGTCGTCGTCGTCGTCGTCGTCGTCGTCGTCGTCGTCGTTGTTGTTGTTGTTGTTGTTGTTGTTGTTGTTGTTGTTGTTGTTGTTGTTGTTGAACATTATTAATTCTAAAAGATAATTATTGTTGGGACCCCTGGTGCACGGCCCCCCTGCGCCGCCTAGGCCGCAGCTACATTTTCATCATTTTCGTGAGGAAGCCTCAGGTAATTCGATGTGATCAAGATCCGGTTGTTTTGTTCCCCCCCGCTTTCCCTTGCAAAAAACACTATAAAATGACATTTCTTGTTCTAATATAATCAAATTTCAAGAATCCCTTGCAAAAAATAAGGTAAAGTGGACATTCGCGCGCGCAAGACGAAATCCTTCCAAAAGCTTAGTGTTCGGAGCGATTTTAACATAAAAACATCAAAAAACCAATGGTTTTTCAACAAAAAAATGTCAAAATCTCATCCCGCGCGCTCTTGCGGATTCGTAGGAAACCCAACACTTTTTAAACATTTCTGTCAAACGGGCTTTTGCGAGCAACTTTTTCGAACTTCTGCAACAACGGTTGCGCACCTGCCAGGGCCATCATCCCTGTCAAATAATACCATGCGGGACACATTCGTTTTTTCTTCGCGCGCGCACGCCGTCGTCGTCGGCCGCGGGGCCCTGAATAGTAGCCACGGTCGTCCGCATGCCACGAAGTGAAGTGTCCGAACGTCATAGGGCGGGAAGCTGGGTGTGGGTGGTGGCGAAGAGTCGTTTGGAAATTTGGTAGAGCTTGAACCGGCCCCCCCACAAAGTGGGGGTATTGCCCGCCTCCTATGAAAACCCTGGCACTGGTGAGAACGGAGTGTCCCCACGTGCTAGTAATTGTTGTTGTTGTTGTTGTTGTTGTTGTTGTTGAACATTATTTATTCTAAAGAATAATTATTGTTGGGGCCCCTGGTGCGCGCCCCCCTCGCCGCGCCTAGGCCGCAGCCACATTTTCATCATTTTCGTGAGGAAGTCTCAGGCAAAACGTGGGTGTCCGGATCCGGTTGTTTTGTTGACGCCCGCTTTCCCTGGCAAAAAACACTATAAAATGAAATTTCTTGTTCTAACATAACCAAACTTCAAGAATCCTTTGAAACAAATGACACGAAGTGCACACTCGCGCGCGCAAGATGAAATCCTTCCAAAACCTTAGTTTTCGTAGCGATTTTAACATAAAAACATGAAAACCCAATGGTTTTTCAAAAAAAAGTTTCAAACATTCATCTTGCGCGCTCTTGCGGATTTCTGAGGAAACCCAATATTTTTTCAACATTTCTGTCAAACGGGCTCTTGCGAGCAACTTTTTCACGTGCTTCGAACTTCTGCAACAACGGTTGCGCGCTGCCAGGGCCATCATCCCTGTCAAATAATACCATGCGGGACACATTCGTTTTTTCTTCGCGCGCGCACGCCGTCGTCGTCGGCCGCGGGGCCCTGAATAGTAGCCACGGTTGTCCGCATGCCACGAAGTGAAGTGTCCGAACGTCATAGGGCGGGAAGCTGGGTGTGGGTGGTGGCGAAGAGTCGTTTGGAAATTTGGTAGAGCTTGAACCGGCCCCCCCACAAAGTGGGGGTATTGCCCGCCTCCTATGAAAACCCTGGCACTGGTGAGAACGGAGTGTCCCCAGTCTTAAATGATTGTTGTTGTTGTTGTTGTTGTTGTTGTTGTTGTTATTGTTGCTGTTTTTGTTTGTTTGTTTGTTTGTTTGTTTGTTTTGTTTCGTTTTGTTTGTTTGTTCGTTTGTTTGTTTGTTTGTTGGGTGGTTGTCGTTGTTGTCGTGTTGTTGTTGTTGCTGGTGCTGCTGCTGCTGCGGTTGTTGTTGTTGCTGCTGCGGTTGTTGTTGTTATTGTTGCTGTTGTTGTTGCTGTTGTTACCATCGTAGTTTTATTATTTTGTGTTTGTTGTTTTTGGCGGTTTTTGTTTTTTTGGTTGTGCGTGGGATGGTGGGCCTGCGCGCAGTTGCGAAGGATGGTGTGGGGGGGTGCTGGCCTTGCACGCAGCAGGCAGCATGCCTGCCCTCTCCGCCGTTCCTGTTAAAAACCGTCGCGAAGTGATCGCGGATCGCGGGGCGTCTCTTCATACAGTGGGGGCCCATGCCAAGAAACATCCTGCTAGCCTCCAGGGTGCCCTGGGTTTCTTGGGTTTCGATGGTTTGCGATGGAAGCTGTGACGTCCCCACACCAGAAATCAATGGACGTCCTCGGGTCACATGGTTGGGTTTCTTGCGGAAGGTTTCTTGTGGACTGGCCTCCACTGTACCCTCGTAGGTTCGTTTTTAGCGTCGATCAGCGTCTCTTTGCGTCGATTATATAGCGTCTGGAGTCGTTGAGATAGCGCCAGTTTAGCGTCGGCTCGCGTCGGTTCGCGCCGATTCAGCGTCGTTCGGCGTCGATGTAGCGTCGATCAGCGTCGATTCGGAAGAGCCGACAAGACGGCACGGGAGGCTCCCATGAGCTGCCACCGAAGCCCTGGACCCCTGGGGGCCCGCTGCCGATCCCAGCTCGTCACCTGACGGCCCGAGGCCCCGCAGGACGCGGCCGGCGCGATGCCAGTCCAGACGCCTCGCGCGACTCCACCGGCCCAGCCAGAAACGATGCCCAGGCCTTGGCATCGCTCGGACGTGTGCGTTTTGTCTCGGTGGGGGCCAGCGAGGAGCATCCTGGATCATCTGACGAAGAAGGCACGCACGAAACCGAAAACTGCACGGGGAATGGACGTCCGAGCGATGGCGAGAGGCGAGTAGCCCTGATCAGGGATGTGGAGGAGCATGCGGTGGAATACCAGGCTGGGGAGGCCGTCGTACCCCGAGAGGGGGATGCTGGAGGAGGACGGAGGAGGAGGAGGAGGAGGAGGAGGAGGAGGAGGAGGAGGACCAGTGTAAACCCCAGACGCATCAACGATTTCTACATAGGTTCCTACAATATTTGTTTTAATAGATCGCTTCGCTCATTCCGCCGGCCCATTTCGCATCACTGTGGCTGTGTGGTGGTGAATGGTAGGGCAGGCAGGAATGTCCTCGGACGAGGAGATCTTTGGAGATGTGGCTCGCCCCTGTCGAAGAGAACCGATCGACTGCCCCAGAGGGCGCCGAGATGGCTCAAGAGAGCTCCAGTAGAGTTTCGAAACGTTCCTCGGTTATGGAGGGGTGCAGGAGCGGAGCAGATGCACGGAGTCACATGGCGCTCGCGTGCCCATGGCCATTTTGGTCTCGAGTTCCGCTTTCGAGCTCACCTCCGCGCTCTCTCGCGCGCAAGTGTTCTCCGCCTTCCAGGCACCACCGCAGCATCTGGGGCGATGGGCTGGTTCGGCGAGGTCGAACCCGCGGCTGCGGCGGCCTCGGCGCCGGGGGGTGGCACGGACGGCGCTGCGACCGAACGCGCCCCTTCAGAGCGCGCGCGGCAGACACCTCGTCCCCTTCTAGTTTCCTCGATCGCGGACATGGTCGGCTTCGACCCGATCCTGCTCGGAGCGTTCGTGGAGCAGTTCGGGGGCGCGCTCACCTGTCTCATGATCGACGATCTGCTGTCGACCTCCATCGTGGAGCTGTCCCCGGCCTTGGACGGGACATTTGTTGACAGTGCGGTTTTACAGGCGCTCCAGAAGTCCAAGCTGCGGCGTTTCCTCCGGAAGATCGCAGAGATCGGCGGCGCGCCCCCGCTGGACTTCGGCACGCTGGGCGGCCCACTGCAAGCGCCGACGCGCCCGACGGCCAAGGCACCGCCACTGGTGCCCGCGGCCCGGAAGCGTAAGCTGGCCGCCCTCATCGACCAGGTGGATGACGGAGACGTCGAGCTCCTTCCAGCGCCGCGCATCGCGGCGCTGTGGGCCGACTTCGAGATGGCCCACGGCGGGGGGCTCCGCGAGCACGAAGACGTGACAGGGGATCAGCTTTCGGCGCTGGCCGCCAACCTCGCCGAAGACATGGCCCCATGCGTCGACATGGCCGTGTGGGGGCCATTCGGCCGATGTCAACAGCGGCTGCTACGCTTCACCGCCCAGGTGTTCGTCGGGGGGGAGCTGGTCACTCGGCAGCTCCGGGGGCCTTCCTCTTTCGACGCGTGGCGGGCGTGCTGGCGGGTCCTCAGGACGGCGATGCTCGCTCTGAAGGCTTCCCTGCCAGGGCCGTTGGGCGAGCGCGAGTGGGGCATCCGTCTTCTTCACAGCGCCTTCCCCGAGCAGTGGGGCATCATCTCGCAGGCCGACGACGAGATGCGAGCTGAGCCCTTGGAGCGCATCCGGCGCTAGACAAGGCCCGCGTCGCCAACGGGTGCTACGCGGGCTCGTTCGACAAGGGCCGCCCCTGTGAGTCCGTCATCAGGGATTCGGCCAAGTCAGAAACTAGCCCCCATGCCACCTGGTGGTTGGAGCGCGTGGTCAAGCTGTGCCTCCTCGCCTTCCGCCGGGGCGCCGTGCCGCTAGCGCTGCAGGTTGGCGGCGGCGGTGGTGGGGGCGGCGCCAGCGGCGGCGGCCCAACGCCGACGCCTGCTCCAGCGGGGGCCGCCGCTTGCCGGAAGAAAGGCGGGAAGGACGACAAGAAGAAGAGGGGCCTGGCAGGGGTCGAGCGTCGCAGGGGCGGGCGCTGCGTCCGCGCCGCCGACGGTTCCCAGCTCTGCTTCAGCTGGAACCGCTCGGACAAGGGCTGCGCGGACGGCCGTTGCCCTCGGGGCCGCGCCCACAGCTGCGAGTGGTGCTTGGGTCCGCATCGGGCCATCGCTCCGGAGTGCCCGGCCAAGCCGCGCGGCTGGGCGCCGCCGCCGCCCGGGCGTGCGTGGGCCGTTCAGCGAGGCCCTCCGGCGCCCCGCGCCAATGGGGAGGGCGCGGCCTCGTTTCCGAAGGTCGCCAGGATGGCGCGGGAGGCGTCGGGGGCCGCTCAGGGTACGACGCCCAGTTCGCGGGCTCTCCCGAGCAACCCCATTGGCGGTTGCGGCGCCGCCCCCAGGGGAACGCCTGCCGGTGGCGCAGGCGGCCCGGGCGGCTCCGTCAACGCTTGCATCCGCGGCCGCGGCAGCCGCAGCTGCGACAGGGCTCGCGGAGGAGGCGCCCGAGACCGCCGCAGGCGGGACGCCCAGTCCGCGCCAGGCGCTGCTGAGTCGGCAACGCCAGAGCATGCAGGACATTCTTGGCAGGCTCTGGCGGCTCGGGACCTCGCTGGCGGAGGTGCAGCGGCGGCGAGCTGCAGCTCCCGCTTCGGCTCCGTGCCGCTCCGCCTCCGCGCAGACGGCAAATGGGGCGAAGGGGGCCAGCGAGGGGGGGCCGTCGAGAGGGGGCCTTGCGCTGGGCCCCCGGGGAGAAGGCGCACTTCGAGGCACTATCCGAGTTCGGGGGCCCGTCGCCGGCGCGCCGCCGCGCCCCCCGCGGCGCGAACCCGTCGGGCGCGCGGGGCCAGCGGCGTCGGAAAGACGCGGCATGCAGGGCTGGGCTGAGGAACGCGGCCGCAGCGATCGCTTCTGAGCCGTCGCTGCAGCGCGTGATGGGCCGGGTCAGGCTCGCCACTCGGGAGGCCCAGTCTGAGGGCGCCAGTTTGACTGGGGTCGCTGGCTGCTGCGGGGAGACACCCGCGCGCCCGCCGCCGTGCGCTGCGGGCGAAGATGGCTCGCGCGCTCGCAGTCGAGCCCGGCGGCGAGCTCCGCCACCATCCAGCCTGGAGCATGCGGTTCCGCCTGGTCCAGCAAGTCAGTTCGCTCGCTGGGGAAGCGGATCGAGAGGTCGGGAGGTCGCTAGAGGAGGGCGCCCCCATGGGCATCTCCCGCGCGGTGGTGCCGGGCGGACGGTTCCCCATGGCCGAGTCCTCCAGCACGCTGGACCCCTGTGACCTTGGCACTGGCACCCGCGCGTTCTCGGACAACCACCCGGTTAGGTGGAGGCCCTTTCCTTGGACTTGATCCGCGGTTGCCTCAGGTCGGGCTACGGCGAGACCTTCGACACGGCGGCAGCGGCCGAGGCCAAGTTCGGGCGCGTTTTTCCCGCTCCGCTCGGCAACGTCCAGCGCCAGAAGCGGGACGGGACCTTCAAGAACAGGATCATGCAGGACCTGGAGGCCAATGGGGTGAACCAGGCGTCCACGACGCGCGAGCGCGTCGCGCTGCCGAGGGGGGTCGATCACGCGGTCGATCTCGCTTCGTTAGGGCAGCGCGTAGGGGCGCCCACTCGGGTTCATCGGGCTGGTGTCCTTGTACTCGACTTCCTCGACGCTTTCATGAGCATCCCATTGCACGAGAGCGAGAGGCGGTTCAACGTCGCGGTCCTCGAGGAGCCCCCCTGGCAGGGCACGGCCGCGTGATCGTCTGGCGGGTCCTGGGCTTCGGAGGGAAGGCAAACTCGCTTGTGTACGGCAGGGTCGGGTCATTCCTGGCCCGTTCCGCGCAGGCCATGTTGCTGGCGTCCGAGGGCCGGCTGCAGCTCTATGTCGACGACCTGGCGATTGCCCTCGCGGGCTCCGACGAGTGCATTCATTGCACCGTGGACACGGTCCTAGGGTGGTGGCTCGCCCTCGGCCTGGGGCTGACATGCGTGGCGAAAAGGAATTTTCTCTTCGGGTGCCCATGTCTGGATCGGCATCCACTTCGAGTTGCGCGGCGCCGTGGCCTACATGACCTTGCCGCCGGAGTTTTTGAAGGCGGCGGCCGAAATCGTGGATGCGTTCTGCGGGGGGCCCGGCGCGGCTCCCCTCAGCCTGGCGCGCACGGCCACAGGCAAGGTGTCGCGCATTGCCCAGGTTGTGCCGGAGGCGCACCCCTTCGCTGCATCCTCTTGGGCGGCCCTGGCGGCGGCAGAGCAGGCGGCGGCGTCGGCGCGGCCGGAGGCGCCCCCAGGGCGCGTCGCGGTTTGCCGTTTCGCCGCGGCCGCAGCGTGGATGCGGGCGCTCATCAAAGGCGCCGTTTTGCCCCTCGCCCGCGATGTGCACCGCCGGCCGGACCTGCGCCGCCTCCCAGCCGCGCTAGTCCACGTGGAGTTCGATGCCTCCCCGTGGGGGGGAGGGGCCATCCTCTTCGAGAAGGGCGCCCCGCGCGAATGCCGCGCGTTCACGTGGCCGCGCGAGTTCCTCCGGCGGTTCGGCGCCGAGATCGGTAACTCCAAGTGGCAGGCCCTGTGGGGGTGCATCACCCTACTGGTCACCCTGTTGGCGTGGGGCACGCCGTTTGCGGTCGGGCAGGTCCTCGCGATCGTGGGGGGCAACCTCGCGGCGCTCGCGGGCGCAGTCTATTACCGAGGACGTCGAGACCTGAATGCCGTCACTGGGGAGCTGGCGTGGAGGAAGGCAGCCTTCCGTTGGACGCACACGGTCTCGCATCTACCGTCAGAGGCCAATGAGTTGGCGGGCGATCGCTCGAGATTGGCGGCAACGCCCCCAGTCCCTTTTCCATTGGTGTTGCGGGATGCGCCAGCCGCTCGCGCGCCCGAGCTCGACTTGATCTGGCAGGCCTGGTTGGGGGCTCCGCCCCCAGCAACTTGTCTTTGAACGAGCTCGCGCGCGCGGCGCCAGGTCCTCCACCCCTTCGCCGAGCTCGGGGCCGCCGCGAGGCTGGCGAGCGCCGCGACTTCTTACCCGAGGGGTGCGACTAGAAATTGTGCCCGAACGCGGGCGTGCATGGCTCTGCGCCCTGTCCAGGCCCGCTTGGGGCGGCTTCGACCCTGCCCTGGGGTTCCCAGCCACCCCCAAACCGACCAAAATTGCGCGCCGAGCCCCCCCCCCCCTCGGTGTGCCCGGGGGGGGCCGGTGCGCCGAGGGGGGGGGGGTCTCGGTGCGCCATTTTCGGTGGTTTTCGGTGTCTCCTGCGCTCCGTCGTGGTCTGCCCTGGGTCGGGGGCGACGCTTCCTTTTCCTTTCGCCTCCTCGCCCGTCCAGGTAAGAATCCTTCCTTCTCCCCTCCCCCCCTCCTTTTCCATTCCAGCCGCGAGGGGGAAGGGCGTGACTGGCCGCGAAAGGGGGATCGGCGTACCTCGCCAGGCGCGTCCCCGGCTTGTCCGGCCATCGGGGGACATCGGCGCTTCTAACCAGCTGCCGGCTCCCCGGCTCGGCTGGCTTATCCGCGTTCGCGCGCCTATCCGGCTCCGAGCCATAGGGGGGATCTGCGCATCCCGTCATTATTGTAGGGTGTATGCCGGCTCAAACTTCTGGCCGTCAAGGCACCGCGGCGCGCGGTTTCTCCTGCGGGGCGCATCCGCCGGCCGCGCTATGACATGGCCCCGCTCGCCGCCACCCGTTCTCGGCGGGATCGTGGGGCGTCGTTGGCGGCCGCTCCCATAGGGGCCCAAGCGGGGCGCGCGATCGGAGGGGGCCCCCCCTCCGCGCTTTCTCGCCCGGGCCTGGGGGCGAGGGAAAGGGTGCGCCTGGCGCCGAGGGCAGCCGCGCTACGCGGGGCTTCGGGGGGCGGGGGGCGACCTCCCCTGCCACCCGCTTCCGCGCGCCTCAGGCCTGGCGGGGGCAATGCTGAAGGCCCCAGGTCGGGCGACGTTGAGACCTCGGCGTCGGCGCCTGCCGGCGACCGGGGTGCCGTGGTTCGCTGGGCATTGCCGGGTCTGCGCCATGACGCGCCCAGCAGACGCCGATGCTCCCGCGGATCCATGCCCGACTTGCGGGGGGGGCGGGCGCGCCTGCGGGCCTTGTCGAGCTTCGCCAAGTCGGTGTACGCGACGACCTCGAGGAAATCTGTGGCCTCGCGGATCCGTACTTGTGGACGCCTCCTTGCTTTCTGGGACCAGGAGCTGTTCCCGCTGACTATCTCAAAGGTGACCGCCCTAGGAGCGAGCCTCACGGCCGGCGGGTGCCGCTCGGCGCGCGCGGCTTTGCCTGTCAGCGGCCGTAGTGGAATCAGAGAGAGGGGGGCATCTGGTCGATTCTGGAAGGGAGGTTGAGCTGTTCGCGACGCGCGCGGCGCTGGTTGCACTGTCGGGCACGGGGAGTTCGCTGCAGGTTGCCTGGGGCCTTCCTGCGTCGAAGGCCGACCCTTTGGCCGTCGGCGCCAGGCGCGCTCGCGAGTGCTGCCGTGGGGCAGGGCGGTCGGCCGCCATCTGCCCTGCGCGCGCGGTGGCCTCGCAGGCCCGGTGGCTTAAGGGCGCGTTCCCAGAGCGCTTCGCGGGTGGGTGGCCGGACCTCGATCTCCAGCTGTTCCCGGACATGCGCGGGCAGGCGTGTGCGAAGCTGGCCGTCGCCGCAACCATTCAGCACGCGGCCCGTCTGCTGGGATTGGAGGGGCCCGCTGGCGAGGTTCGCTGGACTAGCCACTCGATCCGCGTCGCCGGGGCGCAGGGGCTCGCGAGGGCTGGATTCGACGTCTGGGCGATCCAGCTCTTGGAGCGCTGGGGCTCGGATGCGGTCCTGCGCTGCGCCCGGGGGGCGCCGCTCGCTGCCTCTGCCAATTGGGCCGCGCGGGCTTCGGCGGGCCTGCCGCTCGACGAGGTCCATGGGCGCGTGCCGCTGGAAAGGGGGGGCGAACGGGGGCCTGCCAATCGGGCGCGCGCCGCCGCGTTGGCAGGGGGAGTGCGTCCAGATCATGGGGGTGCTCGCCGCTGCACAGCCGAGAGCCTTTGTCGGCAACTTGCCGCAAAGGCGTCCTCCCTCGAGACCTCCGTCCTCTCCCTGCGCGAAGCCTTCACGGCGGAGCTGGAGGGGGTCAGGCGCTTCCGTGCTGAAGGCCCCGAGTTCGCCGAGAACCCGAGGACCGGCGTCGCCCGCGGGATCTGGGCGGGATCTATGCGCGTCGCGCCCAGGGGGTGACCCAGGGGGTGGCGGACCTCCTGCGGGTGGGCCTTCGGCATCGCCGACCACGCGAGACTCGAGTCCGCCGAAAGGCCGTGCGAACTCTTGTGCGAGAAGTGCATGCCTGAGGATAGAGCGGCGGCGAAGGCAGCTTTAGCACGCAGTGCTGCGGCGTCTGACGAGCGGGGGACTTCGGCATAGGGGGGCCATCGGTGCTTGCATCGGCTCGGGCAGGTGCCCGGGCGCAGGCGCGGCCTCCGCCCATGCCCGTGTGAGAGGAGTCCGCAGGGCGATCCGCAGCGTGAGAAAACGAGATCACGCACATGTGGAGGGGTGCAGGAGCGGAGCCGATGCGCGGAGTCATATGGCGCTTGCGTGCCCATGGCCATTTTGTGGTCTCGAGCTCCGCTTTCGAGCTCGCCTCCGCGCTCTCTCGCGCGTAAGTTTTCTCCCTGCCCACCGCCCTGTAAATTTCACCCAGCCAGAGCCTGCCTCTGTAGGGGTCCTAGCGGATTCGTATGGTTAGGTTAGGTTTGCCGCAGATTTTCGCTGCGCGCCCGGGTGCCCGGGTGCCCGCGGGTTCCCGGGTGCCCCGGCGTGCCCGGGAGTGCCCGGGTGCCCGCCCGGTAGCATTATAATCGTATAGTCTGAAAGTGCGCCAGTGGATCTCCCTGAATACACTAAAGGGGGGGGGGTCGAGAACCCCCCCCCCTTCCCCCCTTCAGGGGGGGGGGGGTCCGGCCCCTCCCCCCCCCCCTCCCCCTCTTACGGGGGGGGGGGTCCCGAAACCCCCCCTCCCTCTTCCCTTGAAGGGGGGGTTCCGGACCCCCCCCCCCTTGGCGGTGGAAAGGGAGGGGGGGGGTCGGACCCCCCCCTCGTGTAGGGAGTACGGAGTTTGGAATAGGGAGTGGTGAGTAGTGAGTAGTGGTTTCGTGCGTAGTGAGTAGTCAGCATTGGGTAGTGAGTAGTGGGTAGTGTTTGATGTGTAGGGAGTAGGGAGTAGGGAGTGGGGAGTAGTGAGTAGTGAAGAGTTAGTCGTGTGTACTGATGAGTGAGTAGTGAGTGGAGAGTAGTGAGTAGTGAGTAGTGAGTAGCGAGTAGCGAGTTGTGAGTACTGAGTAGGGAGTGTGGAGTAATGAGTAGTGGGTAGTGAGTAGTGGGTAGTGAGTAGTGGGTGGCGGGTAGTGATTAGTGAATAGTCAGTAGTGGGTAGTGCGTAGTGCGTAGTGAGTAGTGAGTAGTGAGTAGTGAGTAGTGAGTAGTGAGTAGTGGGTAGTGAGTAGTGAGTAGTGAGTAGTGAGTAGTGAGTAGTGAGTACTGAGTAGTACATAATGCGTAGTGAGTAGTGAGTGGTGAGTAGTGATGACTAGAGAGTAGTGGGTAGTGGCAGGGGGTAGTGAGTAGTGAGTAGCGAGTAGGGAGTAGCGAGTAGTGAGTAGTGAGGAGCGAGTATGGCGAAGTGAGTAGTGAGTAAGGAGTAGTCAGTAGTGAGTAGTGGGTCGTGATTAGTAAGTAACGAGTAGAGAGTAGCGAGTAGTGAGTAGTGAGTAG